TGTTTTTCTATCAGTTTTATGAAGTATTTACCTATATTAATATTGGAGAGGTATGCGAATTAACAGTGTCTAAGAATTTGAATGAAACCTGCCCTCGTGGAATGTAATTTATTAGGGTTGTGGTAGCTTCTTCCTTTAATGTCGGTCTTCTCCGTCACCCCTTACCCATCTATATCTAGAGACAATACACGTTAAATTTAAGCGACGTCTAGACGACACAAGTGGGGTTACGAATAGGGAATTGAAATGGTACATCTAACCCACTCATATCTTATCTTCTCTCCCACCTCTTTCTCACGTCGTTAATTTTACATATGCTTGATGCGGTCCGTCAAAAACGTGTGAATTTCTTTTCATTTTTCATTTCAACCTTTGGAAGTAAAGTCTGATGATCCAGAGCCCTGTTAAAGGGGTTATGGTGAAATAGCTTATTACATCGAACCTTAAAGTGGTCTGTTTTTATTCAAACATATCGGCTCTGAATTTTACATTGAGCTCTCCCGGTATCATCCTCCTTGGGTCGACCCATGCGGATTACCTAGTTTTGCATAAACTATATATATATATATATATATATATATATATATATTCTTGCATATACAATATATATACAATATATATATGTATATATATTCTTGCATATACAATATATATACATTATATATATGTTATTGGGACTCTCCCGTCGGTCTAGACGTATGAGGATCTGCCAGCTTATTGATTCAGTTATGAAAGTTTATGCGCTAATCTTAGGTGACATTTAAGACCCTGTTAGTGATTTACAAAGGACGTCGCATATGGAGCAAATGCAAGGATTGTGAGATGAGATCACTGTTAGATTGGTTGACCTTTTAGATCCTGCTCTCACTTCTTGAAGATGATTCAGACAAGCAAATTGAAAATTGCTGAGTCCACTAAAACACGTTGATCTCCATTCTACCCGCTCCAAAGCTAAGCGCTGAAGGGTGTTATGTGGTATATTGACAGCTGACAAGTTGCTTTTCAGCTTGTCTTTGTATCTTAGCCATGGGCGTCCTACATTCCTGTAGCCCTGATCTAACTGGCTGTACATTAGGATTTTGGGTATCCTGTCATCAGACATTCTCAAGACATAACCAGTCCTCCGTAACTGAGATTGTATGATAAAAGTCTCGATTCCTCCAATATTGCACCTATTAAACAGGTCTACGTTATTTGTCCTATCTTAAAGCTTAACCCCACAGATTGTACGCAGGCTGCTTTTATGGAAAACATATATATATTCAACTAACGAAAATCTTGGTAACCCGTATGGATAATCCAAAGAAGGATGAAATCCTGAGAGCTCAATGTTAAGTCAGAGCGGATAATTTAATTTAAAAGAAAAATAGACCAATTTAAGGCTCCATTAGTTATAATTTATTTCATCAGAGTTTTACTTTTTCTCTGGATCCTCAGACTTTACTTTCAAAGACGAAACGAAAAAATGAATTTAAAATTTACACTTTTGACGGGTAGGATTGAGCTTATATAAGTTGAATTAGAGGGTGATGAGGGATGGTGTGAGAGACATGGTCGAGTTTAGAGAGGGAAGGGAGAGTTTAAAATTTATCTTTATATTTCTTTTTATTACAATGCTTAATATTGCGGAAGGAGGTGGGGTAAGGATCAGAGATTGACTTATTTAGTCGGTCAACTTAACGGAAATGATACGGGAAAAGAAAGAAAGAAGAAAAAAGGGGAAAAGAAAAAAGTGGGTAGTAAAGAGATAAGAGATCTACGTAGGGTTTTTGGAGGAAGGAGACGGGTGACAGCAATTTAGATAAAAACAGAATCTAACGTTTGATAGTAATTTAAATGTTTAAAAAATACTCTACAAAGAAAATAAATTTAATGCTAGTTAGCTATTTAAAAATCAACTTGTCCACAAATAAATTAGGGATTCAATATAAGCCGAATATTATATTAAAAAACAAAAAAAATTCTAATCTCTATCTATAAAAGGCAGGATGTGTGTGTGTGTGTGTGTGTGTGTGTGTGTGTGTGCGTGTGTGTGTGTGTAACGAATGCACGGCGCAATTTCGACGGATTTGCCAAAATTTACATGCACATGCTCCAAGTACCAGCGGCAAGGCCAAGACGACTTTGTATTTCCCAACCCCATCGATAGTGGAAATAATCAATTTTTCCATGCTTCTACAGCAGTTTTCTTGTAGTTTGCGGCCATTTTTTACTGGCCAGAGTGAGAGCCTATAGCTGGCTGCCACGAATAGGCAGGAAGATTCTATTGACCAGCGTGTGAGCCAACAGCTGACTGACACGAATGTTAGCTAGCATGCAAAAAAAAAATCGATAGCTGCATTCGTCACAAGTGGGAAAAATTTAAATCTGCATGGCACTTTACTCCAATTGGCTCATTCGCTTGCTTAAACTCAACGTTGATTCTGTTTCCGCAGAACTGGGTTGGGTGTGAAAAAGTATTTGTTGTTTGGTTTTTCCAGTTACGAGTCCTTTTTTAAAGCTGATCGTTTTGTGTTCATTTTGTTTAGTTCTTTTGCTGCTAGTAGTAATATATTAATATTGTAGATGACTATAAAGATAAAATCTTTATCAGTTTGAGTCTAATATATGAATTTAATTTGTAGCTATTATTAGAAGGGTTTATTTTTTTTAAATTAAAGTTTAGATTTCAATTCAAGATGGAGTAAGATTTAAATGTAATAGTAAAAAAATTTACTGTTTTTTCTTACACACACCACATTCATATTTACGTAAAAGCACCTACACATACATTGATATACATGTACAATTACATATATACCCACATATATATGTATTGATGAACGTCAGCATACACGCATATACATATACAAATACTTACATATACATTTACATATCTCCAGACGCATCCATATTTCTACATATTTAAATTGTTTTCTTAAATTTTACAGTTAAAGTTAGATGGTGAATTAAGTGTTTAAATTTCAAAAAATATTTTAAATTTTAATATTTTTGATATCATGAATAAAGGTTATAGAGTAACATTTTTTAAATTTAACTTAAAGTGAGATTATCTCCAGGTGAATAAAAATTCCCAATCTTTCAAGTCTAATTAGAAATTATTTCAAGAGAAAATAAGATTAACTGGTAATAGTTATTTTTCCATTATAAGTCTATATACATAAACAAACAACGATATCTACATATATATTCTACATATGACAGATATAAATTCGTAAATATATATATATATACATGCACAAACATATATACAACCCTATATATATATATATATATATATATATATAATGTATACCCAAGTATAGGATTGGTGTATAGGGAATAAATTCCAATAATCAACAATTAGTATTTTTAAAAGAGTGCTCAATACAGAGTAGAGCGAATATGATTATTTATTCGAAAATTATAACATAAATATGCTATAAAATCACTACAAAAATAGCCATTTTGTTTCAACACTTCTGGTGTCTTATCAAGTGATGATGTTGAATGTAGATTGTAGAATAAAGGGTTTTAAAAGGTTCAAATTAATTAACCACCCCTCGTAAGGGGAAACGTTGTTACATGAGCTGGAATGACCCATGAATTATGTAACAGCGCTTACCCTAGCGAGGGGTGTTTGATTGATTTGAACTTTTTAAAACCCTTTATTCTACATTCAAAACCATCACTTGATAAGACACCAGAAGTTTTGAAACAAAATGGCTATTTTTGTAATGATTTTATAACATATCTTTTTTGTTATAATTTTCGAATAAATAATATATATATATATATATATATATATATATATATATATATTATTAAATATAACACAACGAATGTCTGTTATGTTTGATTATGAGCTGTTTTAATCTTCATATAGTTGCTTTAATTTCGGGAGAATATAAAAACAAAAACTTTCAAATATTTGGATATTTCTTATTATGCTGTTCCTTGATCAAAGGCTCACAGATGCCATCATCAGAATGGTTATATGGCCATTTAAACAAAGATATTCACCATCAAAGATGATGATATGTTATTTTTGTAATGTCCGTTTGTATGAGAGATTTTATAAATCACAAACAGTAACTTCTTCGAACAATACTCTGTCAGACGCCGCTAATTCCTATATATATTGGTATTGGGGAATTGGTTTTTCATTTACAACACCTAAAGGTTTTGTCGGGCGAGTATATATTTATAAGATTATTAGTATTATTTATATAGATATATATATATATATATATATATATATATATATATATATATATATATATATATATAAAGAAAGAAAGATATATAATCCGGTCAACAAAAAATTGCTTGAGGATGAAATGGAACAAATCTTTTAATTTAATTGCAAAATTAAATTCAGGACTTTAGCTTCTATTTTTTGAAACATGGTTAGAACTGTGTAGCGGAAAAACATATTTTAAATCAATTAATATATATATATATATATTCCTTTACCCTTCTTGTGATCAATTATTTCAAGATGAGTTCTGCTTGCTCTCTGTCAATCCGTTTTCAAACCAAACTGTCGGCAGCGACACTTTATTCCTATATGACACTTACGTTGGCATAAAAGATTGCTATACGACGATAACGGTCGCAGAATAGAAGACGCAGATTGTAAATTCGTGATGCGGTTCTGTGGCTGTGACACTATATATATATATATATATATATATATATATATATATATTTATTTATTTATTTATTTGAAAGAGAGAGAAATGGAGCGAGAGTGAGGTGATTCGATCAATGACTGAGTCGATTGTTGATCAATACCCAGCTAAAAGGAAAATATCTATCTTCCGGACTGTTCACCTGCTACTTAAGCAAATATCTACTCATCTTTGTAAGTGCTCTTTACTCAAAAATTTAATGAAGGTTTTCCTTAAAAGCCTTGCTCCAAGCAAATATGATCAGCTAAATTTCCAATTACTTAACTCGATTAAATATTTCCGTTTACATTGAATGGATGACACACGCACACACATTCATAATTGCAGTTAGATAGATAGATAGATAGATAGATAGATAGATAGATAGATAGATAGATAGATAGGAATAGACTGAGATAGATAGATATGAAACAAATTGCATAGATAGATAGATAGATAGATAGATAGATAGATAGAGATAGATAGATAGATAGATAGATAGGAATAGACTGAGAATGATAGATAGATAAGAACCGACTGAGAAAGTTAAATATAAAATAAATTAGACAGATAATTAGATATATAGATATGAAGCGACTAATATAGACAGATATGAAATAAATTAGTTAGTTAGAATAGACTGAGATAGATAGATAGATAGATAGATAGATAGATAGATAGATAGACAAAGAACAGACTGAGATAGATAGATATGAACATGTATACAGATAGATAGATAGTAATTGGAAACTGAATCGACAAAGAAAACATTCTTTTTCTAAGAAATCGATATTAAATAACACATATATATATATATATATATATATATATATATATATGTGTGTGTGTGTGTGTGTGTGTGTGTGCATGTATTTATGTGTTTATTCCACCAGAGGAGATGGTATCCTAAATTGTGTATCAAATATTTAATACGCTGATAAAATCGTATCCCAACAAGTATAAGATATTTGTCACTTTCCTTTTCTGGTTGCGATCTGTTCCTCCGTTTTCAAGATGGCGTTGCCTACACGCTACGGGGTACATTTCAATAAAAATTTCATTTGTAGCTTTCTGAAATAGGATAGCACCACTAGCCATTTTCAAAGAAAATTTTAGTCAAGAATACACACCTGGGATAATTCATATTCCGATACCAAACAGCAAGTGGATAATTCATATTCCGATACCAAACAGCAAGTGGATAATTCATATTCCGATACCAAACAGCAAGTGGAAAAAAATAAAAAGGAACATTCTTTGTTTTTTAACAAAACTTAGATAAACGAAAAACTCCAACGCAAATACTTATATATATATATATATATATATATATATATATATATATATATATATATATACGAATAGGTTGATTGATGTATCTATCTATATATATATATATATATATATATATATATATATATATATATATTTATATATATTGTATTTTTAATAGATTATAAAATTTAATGTATTTCTTAGAAAAAGAATGTTTCTTTTGTCGATTCAATTTGATAAAACTTGTTTTAAATGAATTCTTGCAGCTTATTTATATATATATATATATATATATATATATATATATATATATATATATATATATATATATATATATATATTATTTTATAAAAAATTATATAGTATGTTATAAAGATCACTGCATTTTGTTTATTCTATGTCTTCTATATGATGTTGAAAATAAAATAAATGGTTTTAAAAAGTTTCAGATTAATTAACGATCCTACAATTGTTAAAAAACAGAACCAAAAAAACCTGAAAAATTCAAAACTTGCAACGAAATCCCTATAATAGCTATTCAGATCTTTAAAATGAATATTAAAAAAAAAAAAAAAAATAAAATCATATGATAAAATTTAATATTAAAATTTTGGTAATTTTAAAATCAAATTTAATTTAAGTTTAAAAACTACAAAAGGGAAAAAAAATATATATTTTTCAATTCATTTCTTCATTATATGTTCGACAAGGATACAATATATATATTTGATAATATGTATATATATATTTTCCCTTTCCCTTTCATTTCGTTTTTATTTTAAAGTTTTGGATGTGGTCTTAAGAATATAATTGTTGGTTATTGGAATTCATTCGTATATACCAATTATATCTTTGATATATATATATATATATATATATATATATATATATATATATAATCTATCTAATTTGTTTCATATCTTTCTTTCTCAGTCGCTTCATATCTATCTATCTATCTATTTCATATGTAACTTTCTCTGTCGATTCTAATTCTAATTTACTTCATATCTATCTATCTAACTGGAATTATGAATGTGTGTGCGTCCGTGTCACCCGATCAATGTAAACGGAAAGATATTTAATATTTAACATTTAAAAATCTATATTGTGTAATAGGAATCACTTGGCTTATACGAATGGATTACTACGTACCTATATATATATATATATATATATATATATATATATATATATATATATATATATATATATTAAATGGACAAAAGTCTGACAATTAGTTTAAGATATTTTTATAAAAAGAACGTATAAACATAAAAAAAAATGTCTTAATATAATTGTCAGTTCATTTCTTAATGGGTGACATCATTTGTTTAAATTTTGATACGCATCGAGCAGATATGAATTTACGAGAGAAAATCATGGAGAATTGTAGTTTAAAAACAGTAAAATCGACCTTGCTAACCGAAACGCTTGTCTGTAGCTAAATCAGTAAAAGCACATCATATATATATATATATATATATATATATATATATATATATATATATATGGAGAAAGAGAAAGACAAAGAGAGAAAGAGATAAATATTACCTATAAAGAGATATATAAATAT